AGCGGGCGCGAATCGGAACTAATTCAAATAATGAGATTTCACTCTTTCCGATAAAACCTCACCAAAATAAATAAAGAGAGATTTTCTACGCGGGGGCTGTAATGTCCAGATTATTTCANAATTACGTTAGTTGCGTCCAAATAACCGAGCAGGTGTCACACCATAAACCTTTCCTACCCGGGTCATAAGGCCACGACTATTGTCCTGCGTACCATCGTCTTATNACGCGGGGGCTGTAATGTCCAGATTATTTCAATCTCTTCCGCATCAACAACAATTCACAAATCACCCTATTTCAAAATCAATGCCAACCGACATCGAGCTCTAAAGAATGCACAACGGTGCACCCCTCGGGAACACTTGCAAAACGAAAGACCGCAACCTTGCAAAACTCGACAACAGAGCCGGGTCGATGAACCAGGACACCAAAGAGGCGGAAATCACGCCACCTCCCCCACTCCAAATAAATTTCCATTTTCTTCCAAGTAAGGCGAGGTAAGCCTCCAAAAAATCAACCACCAGTCACGAAAAACCCTCTCGCGAATTAACTACGACTTCTTGGCGGAAGTATTTTTTGGAATCGGTCCGGCTCTGGTTAGTGTTCGAACTTATCTATGTAAATTCGGAGGGTTCTCGAATAGTAGTAGGGAACATAAATTAGCAAGTGTTCGGGGATACAAGTTCCTTTAACCGAAAGTAGAACAGCTTCTTGCATCTGAGAGAATTAGTGGTGAACTTGGTGAATCGTGGGTGTGACTCAACTTTTATAAACAATTAAGACTCAAGACTTATGCAATTCTAACTTCAATCAATTCCGAACAAGTGGAAGACGGGAATTCCACCTAAGTATTTGTAATAGTGTACCAATCGTTCGCTGGCAGAGAAACGTGGTGGATTACCTCAAGAATTCACGAAATATAATTAAGATCCACTCAAAGTGTGTAATTACCATTGTTAACATTCAAGAGATAGATCTAGTAATGATTGCAGGGTTTCACAGATAATAATTGTTTCAACCTCTAAAATTGTACGAAGAATCAAAATCAATTCAAATAAATGTGTAAAGTTGATCCAATCTCTTTTTAATTCAATTTCGAATCCATTCCTAAAATTCTTGTCCTTCGACGCAGGTAATATCTCCGGACATAACAATAACAGTCCGCTCCTGACAGAGCCCCGGGTGTAGGAGTAAGGCGACTTAATACACCTGGGGTGGGACCTGGTGTCCCAGGGACCACGGTTCGCGACGCCAACTACCCCTGGGGCCTTCCAGAACTTAGAACGGTGAGCACCTTGACATTAGGGCAGGCTGTTGTAGGAAGCCCACCCTGCACGCCTCCTTTGGAGTTGGGCTTCGCTTCAATGATGTCCTGAAAAGGACAGACGTCGGTTCGAACTGCTTCTTAGTTTGGGAACATCCCTTAAGTCCCTCCACCGTCGACAAGGTGCTGCAGTTCTTAGGAGGGGGGCGGGAATTGTGTGTGTGTGTGTGTGTTTTTTTTTTTTAGAGGTTTAGGAAAATCTTCAAAAGATTCTGGTAAAGTGATGTTAAAAACCAGATCGGGGATTTTTACCCAGTAAAAACCCTGTTTTCCTCTTTTTACCTCTAATCGTTCGTTCCCATTTCCCTCGTGGCACCACCGTGAAGTATTACTTCGCGAGGGGAGTTCTTTCGAGTTCATTCTCCCAAGTATGCCGGATGTCACTGAAACGGGGGCACATGAAGAATACGTGCTCCGCGATCTCGACCACTTTTGCGCAGGTGGGACACTTTGGGGAATCTTAATGTTTGAATTTATGAAGATATGACCGGAAGCTCCTGTGTCCTGAAAGCATTTGACAAAGATAGTAGTTTATCTCTCCATGGTCTCGACTTACCCACGCAGCTACTTGCGGGATCAGGCGATAGGTCCTCTCCCCTTGGTCGAATCGGAACATTTCTGCTCCGATCGGCTCAAGCTGCTTCGTCTCTCTTGGATTTTTAGTTCTTCAGGATTCAGCGCTTCTGATCTCTTCCGTTGATACAGGGATCTTCGCTCCTCAGCTAATACCTCTATTGGTAACATTCCTGAGATCACGCAAACTGCGTCGTCAGATACCGTCCGGTTTGCACTCAGTGCAACTCTGAGGGCACTCAGCCGATAGACAGGTGCAATTTTACGGTGAGCTTCTTGCAGCTGGAGGACGTCAGCCCAAATGGAAATATTATATGTAAGCACTGACGTACCACTGAAGACAGCAGCGCTCGTCTCCGTTGCTTAGGACCTCCGATATTGAGCATGAGGCGTGTTAAGGTGGATCTGACTCCAGATGCCTTGGTACCCACATGCTCCGCTTGCTGCTTGAACTTCAGTCGGGCACCGATCATCACTCCAAGATACCGAATAAACGGCTGAGATGTGATTTGGTAGTCACCAACTTGCAGGGTAATACTCTCCAATTTCGTCCTACTAGTAATGAGCACCGCCTCCGTTTTATGCTCCGCGAGTTGCAATCCAACTAAATCCATCCACTGACGNAGCATGAGGCGTGTTAAGGTGGATCTGACTCCAGATGCCTTGGTACCCACATGCTCCGCTTGCTGCTTGAACTTCAGTCGGGCACCGATCATCACTCCAAGATACCGAATAAACGGCTGAGATGTGATTTGGTAGTCACCAACTTGCAGGGTAATACTCTCCAATTTCGTCCTACTAGTAATGAGCACCGCCTCCGTTTTATGCTCCGCGAGTTGCAATCCAACTAAATCCATCCACTGACGTATCCTCCTGAATGTCGTATCGAAGATGGAGTTGATTTCCTCCAGATGCTTCGCCATAATCACCACCGCCACGTCATCCGCGAATGCCACGAGTCTCACCTCAGTTGGCAATGCTATCTTCAGCAATCCATCATACATGATTTCCCACAAGAGAGGGCCCAGCACCGAGCCCTGAGATACCCCTCCGGTGAATTGGTACTCTTTAGGGCCGCTCTCTGTGTCGTACTTGAGAACTCTGTCGGTGAAGTAGCTAGCTACCATCTTCCGCAGATATCCTGGAACGATCATCCTCTCGAGAGCCTCCATAATGCAGTCCCACCTGGCTGAATTGGAGGCGTTCTTGATATCTAGCGTCGCCAACTTTTTCCTCCCTTCTCTCTATCTTCTCCCGGAGATCGCCTCCTTGGCGGTGTTGACGACGAGGTCAATGGCGTCGATGGTAGAGCGACCTCTTCGGAAGCCGCATTGGTTATCAGCTAGCAGCGGTTCTACTGCTGCTTCTATCCTTCTGTGGATGATGCGCTCGAGGATTTTCCCAGTTGTATCTAGCATGCAGAGTGGGCGATATGACGATGGCTCGTGCGGTGGCTTCTTCCCTTTGTGGAGGAGCACTAGTCTCTGCTGCTTCCACTTTGCGGAAAAGGTGCCTTCCTCCAGGCATGCATTGTGTACGTGCAGAAATAGTCCTGGTGCTGCATTGATCGCTGCTTTTAATGTAATATTGGGGATTCCATCAAGACCAGGAGCCTTGGTGTGTCCCGCTCTGTCGCAAGCTTCCTTAAGTTGTTCTTCCGTAATTGGTGGGATCGATATATCCATGCTCTGCTCCGTGGACTGGCGGAGTTCTGGTTGTTTAGGGAACAACGCCGTTACAATCTTCTCCAGGAGCTCGGGGCATGACGGAGATGGCATGGGCTGGCTTTTTAGCCGCGTTATAACCATCTTGTACGGTCTTCCCCACGGATGACTCTCGACTTCATCGAGGAGTCCAATCCAGCCTTGCTTCTTGCTCTCCTTGATAGCTTTGGTAAGCTTTCGGCGTGGATCCTTAGATTTCATCTCCAGTACTTCGGAGTTCGGTTTTTTCCTGCCACGCTGAGCTGACCTTCTAGTCTTAACGCACTTCTCTCGAAGAGCGACGATATGATCGTTCCACTAGTGCACCGGTGGCAGACGGCCTCCACTGCGTTTACGAGGCATTGAGGGATCACCGGCCTCGCTAACTCTTCTCATAAGATACTCGGCTTTCTCCGTAGCACTGCTGCCACTTATAGGGTGATCATCGAGTGCCACTAAGAATGAGCTAGGATCGAAGGTGCTCACCTTCCAGCCGATTTCGTTTGTCTTCTTAGGCGTTGGTCTGATCCTTCGACCAGCGGATATCTCCCAAAAGATTGCTGAGTGATCGCTAGCGGTGAAGATATCCATCACCTTCCGGGAGCAGTTTCCTCTTGCGAGATTACTGCTAACGAAGGTGAGGTCTACTATTGAGCTCTTGTCTCCTCTTTCGAACGTGGGTCCATCACCGTTGTTCAGCAGGACAATGTCTAGTGAAGACATAGCCTCCAATAGTGCTTGTCCCCTCGCTTTGGTCTCGTTGCTGCCCCAGTCGACTGCCCAGGCGTTGGAGTCCCCCGCAATTGCAATAGAGAAGTGCTGCTTCGCGTCCTCAGTTAGTCTGTGCAGGAAGTCCATGAATCCGTCAAGGGTGAGGCTTGGTGGAGCATAACAGCTATAGAAATAAATTCCATCCAGCCTAGCTACCATAAAGCCGGACTCATCAGTAGGCGCAACACTTTGGAACGGATACTTTCCCCAAGGCCAGATGACGGCCTTGCGACTCTTTTGTCCGTCTCCCAGGGCTGAGTGCCCAGATGTCTTTATGGCTCCGAGACGATCGCCAGATCAATTTTCAGCTCGCGCACCGACTGCATAAGGAGATCGTGTGCAGCCTAACAGTGGTTGAACTGCAGTATCCGCATTATCGTTTCCTATTCACCTGCTGGTGTGCCTCCCTGAAGACAGGGCATCTGCTGCTACCAGTATTACGAGCACAGTCCTTCGATGAATCTCTCTCAGCACATAAGACACAGCGGGCCTCTTTTCCACAGGCAGCAGCTTTGTGTTCCTCTTCGCCACACTTTGTACAGAGCTTCGCTCTGTCTACTTGACTTTTGCATTTGATGGCGAGATGTCGATAGTACCAACACTTCTAGCACTTGGTCACTGTCTCCACCCTTCAGATCCGGAAGTTCACCCATCCTATACGAATCCTACCGTGATCGCCTAGGACTTTCTTCGCTACCGCTGCAGCCACCGTCACAGATGCAGTCTGGGTACCTCCGTAGGCCTTGCGCAAAGATCTGATGGCATCCGGGGCAATTTGGCAATCTGCTCCCGCCGCGAGTTTGAGGGCCTCCAGCACCTTCTCCTTCGTCGTCAGCTCATCGAGGTCTTTGATCTCAAGTTCTTCCTGTGGCCCTTTACTGAGGACATCAGCCTCTTCTCCAAGGAGTTCGACTATCGCCTTGTGTAAGCGGCCAGCTTCATCCTCCTTATCCTTGGTTAGGATGATCAGCATATCTCCTGTGGTCGTTCTGCGGATTTTGTCGACGCAGTCACGAGCCTGGTCGGAGGGTATCTGCTGCTTCACTCGTTTGAGCACCTTCGAGTACTGCTGCTTGTCCTTCGGGCGTACAAGCAAAGCGTTGGCCCTCATGACTGATGCCCTCTGCTTCTTTTTCTCCTTTTCCTTGCGCTTTTCTGACGGCTGCGCTTTCTGCCTCTTCTTCTTCGGCTTGACCTGCTCCCACTTCAATGAATTTGCAAGCCGCTCCTCCTTCTTGTTCGTGTGTGTGTGTATGTGTGTGTATGTGCGCGTGTGTGCGCATGTGTGCACGCGTATGTGAGAAAAAGGTTGCTCTAGGATTCCGCTTGAACGAGCGATCCGATTCAATTTTTTTACATTTAATCGATATGTGTTCACGTAACTTAGAAGTCATCCGATTTTGAGCAACATTGATTCAGCGATTTTGTAGATTTATCAATAAAGCCAGTGCAAAAACGTTAAAAACTGAAATTTTTTTGCAAATTTCATTGTTTCTCTCAGGGAAATGATGTGATTGACTTCTATTTATGATAGTCGATATCGTTTTGTATGAATACGGCTGGAGTGAATTTTTCCCTTCTCAAATATGAATTTTCCGAAATTTTGAAACTTTTTAAATTTTTTTTATTTCTTTTAAATGAGCAAGAAATAGTATATTTCGTCATACATGATAGGTCTTATTAGGCCGAAAAAAGCTTTTCTGCTGAATACGACTTTGCAGCCGCTGCCGAACGTGAAAGTTGCAATCAGATGAGATCGGAAAGTTTTTTTAGGACATGTGATGGACAATATTTTTTATCATTGCGATCTTCAGGCAGCGCTTTACGGACGCACTTCTATTCTTTTCGGCTTAATGACAACATATACTATAGTCATAATGGGCGTAGGTCGTCCGGACGCGTCTGGTTCGTGAAGCGTTGCTTTACGGCCAGAATGACAAAAAGGAAATTAATCGGAAATTTGTGGAGTCGACCTCTAATGGGTCACACCCACTCCAAATCATCTCTACCAGTTACACCCCAACCTGAGAGCGAACGAAGCAAGCCACCGGCACAGATTTTTTTCTTTAATGTTATCTTTGGTTCACAATCCCAGCAACCAAACAGATGGAGTAGCTACGGGGTCTATTTTACAATCAAGGGCGCAGCGCTTCCACAATCGCGAGGAACATCCTCTTCATTCACTGACTTAACCATATCCACAGTTTCGTTCTTTTTGTCGATGACACACATAGCTTCTCGATCCCGTCTCGACCATGTCAAAATCTTACGTAAGAGTCCTTAGAATCCGTCCGCCCCCATCTTTCTAAGACACGGTAAGAAATCTTTGACCTCCCCCTCCCCCCATCGTCCCTGGACCTCTTATGTAATTTCTGAACAGTCCTCTAGATATTAAATTTCCATTTGTTTTCATGAAATGATACGATGTGACCGCAAAATTTTGTATTCATAACTAAGCTGACTACCGCATTATGAAAAATGTTATTTCTTCCCAAATTCGTTAAAACAATTGATATTCGGAGAATAAATGGGTGGAAGGAAGATAAATATTTTGAGCGAGACCGTGCTTGATAAAAATTTCCTCGAATGTGTGGGCGACGGTAAACCTGTATTGGGTTACTTGAAAAATATTCACTGCACCGGTCCCATACGCTTGCTACCTGACAAATGACCGTCATAAAGCGATTTGACCAAGCTTAATAGCCGCACACTCCAAGTCGTTCAGATATTTTCTTGAAATTTTGAATCGCTTGTGCTCTCTCAAAAAACGTGTTAGAAAATCCGAAAAAATTCACAGCATTCTTTCATTCTATGAACTATCGAATCACCATATTGGCAAACCCAAAAGTGAAAACTCATTATGGTGGCCTGCTTAGTGAATATATTACTAGTTTTAGGAGCATGTCGAGGTGGAAATCGAGCTGCCGCTCGATTGGATTGAGAAGAGGATATATAGAAATTATCGAAGAGGAAGAGTTTTGTAACGACGACCGCGATAACAGAGAGTGAATCCTGACGATCCAGGCGCCCTTGCCATCTTAGCCATGATTTCCATGAATCCTCACATCTCTCTAAGAGAAATTGAGCAGGATTTAGGTGTACCACGAAGAACGACTCATAGGAATAACGATCTAATCGTTATCATTCATATCATATCAAATTACTTCTACTGCCAGCGGAGGATACAGAAAATCGTGTTGCTTTTCGCCATTGGGCCATACGGAAATTGAATAAAAGCCCGGATTTTTTTCAAAACGTCCTTTTCAGCGAGGAGGCAAAGCTTCAGAGTACTGGAACATTAAATCGTCATTATTTCCACTACTGGTCTACAGAAAATCCTCACTGGTCTTAGCACACTGACCATCAACATCGCTGGTGTCTAAACATGTGGTATTGTTAATGGTTAAGTGATTGGCAAGAATTTTTTCCACAGAATAGTCACCGGTCAAAGCTATTTACAGCTTTCCCGAAATGCGCTTCCAGTTTTGTGGGAAAATTTACATTCGAACACAAGACAACGAATGTTGTTTTTGTAAAACAGTGCATCACTGCGATTTGCAGTATTTGTGAGGAATAATTTCAATGTTCTTTTTCCCCATCGCTGGATCAGCAGGAGCGGTCATGGTTTTGTGGTCTCCACAGTCACCCGATCTTAATCGCCTTGATTTTTATTTATGGGTCTACATTAACCATGTAGTCTACAAAAATCGACCAACAACTGCAGAAGACTTGAAAGCACGTACCGGAGACGCAATGGCTAATGTTCCTTATCGCGTACTTCAAAGTGTTGTAGAGTTTCCGACGTCGATTTGAATTGCGTCTCGAAGTAAATGGTGGAAACATTGAACATTTGTTCTAACATTTTTCCAGTAAAACAGAATTCACTGGCGCCTCTTTGTTTCTCCTTTTCTGTTTGCTAGGGATGCGAAGCAGACTTGACCGCCATATGGGGCATCCTGGGTGACGCTAAGAAAGTCTAAAGACTATTGATATTGTGACGGCGATTTCCAAGATTAACCAAACGGAACCCAAATTCTCCATCTGCAGAAAATCTTTAATTGAAGACAGCCGGAGTTTGTCACCTTTGGCCTCTTCCGCTCCAACTTCCCCAAAATCCTCCGAAACCAAAACCAAAAAAAAAATGCCAGCTACTCTTGCGAGAAACTGTCGTTCGACGCCAGCCGATTTTTGGCAACGCGGAATTAACAAAAGCGCAACCGTAGACGTAAGTGAACGAAACGAGAAAAATATAGTACATTACATGCCCCAGCCTTGGAAAACAGATCACCATCCCCCACGTGCAAGATTGCCTTCCGAGGCGAAGGCGAGGATGGCAAGCACGTGGTGGAGGATGATATGATTTCCATGGCGAGGTATGTATATTAATTTTCGTATCGAGAGACCTGAAAAACCCCATTGTCGTGGCGTTACGCGCCACGAAATTGGCGTTTTTCGGGTCCCGTGATACGAAAAAAATATAGCTGGGTTTGGGAAAATCAGAGGCAGAGATTGCAGAATTATGCCTAGCTAGCTCGAGAGAAAATTCGGAGAGCCGGCTGGAATCGGTCGCCCGGTCTTAGGAAAGGGGTCGCAAATATAACGAGATAATAAGAAATCCACTCAAAAAGAAAACCGAATTAAAATTCCCTTGGTCGTCTAGAAAATTGAGAAATGTAAAATTAAAAAACTTCAGTGGAATGGAAAAATACCTCGCATTTAATTTATTCACGTGACTCAAATACAATCTGAAAATCTCTCATTTTCATGTAACAAAACTTGTTTATCGATAGTGGGAGTAATCGAGTGGTTTTTAAGAGAGAGATATGGGCGAATGGGAAAATATAGGGGTCTGGAAGTCTTCGCCAATGATCACTCAGTACTATCCAGCAGCTGGAGTGCAGGAGAATCTATCGACAAGTCGAACTCCTTCGTGGCGAAACCCCGTAGACTTATGACGGTGAAACCAAAATAAAAATGTTAGAAAACTCTGGGGAAGCAATATGCCACTCAAAAGGTACAATCGTACCTCTAGCTTCGAGCTTGATCTCCATCATGAGCGTCGTGTCGTCACCTGAATTTCAGGAAGCTTACGAGCTACTTCTTTTCGGTTTTCAGGAATCTCGAGACAACGAGAAGCCTTAAATTAATCAATTAATGCATTGGGGAACTTTACCGAGCTAGAAGAGTACTCTATTGAGCCTGCACTTCGCTCGGTTAAAGAATTATTCTGCCATGTGCACTGCAGCTACATTCACGAGGCATGAATCGCGTGCGTGCACTTATTTTCATGCGTTCTTCCCATCTTATGCCCTTAATCTGGCCGCAAACACCTCATAAACCCTCTAAGACCGATCAGGAACTAATTAAGCACACGAATGGTGCGTTAATTATTCTCCAAAGTCTCTCATTGTCAGAGAGGGCACAACGGCGTCACTCCGTGCGACTAAGCCATGTACAACTGCCTCTCGCGGGTTTTGTCGGTGATTTTTAACTGGAAAGGGGGCTCACTGGGTCGCTTGTCATTCAGAGAGAGTTCGAAGGTCCTGACGAGCATTCTATGCACTCCTTCGTGCATTTTCACTCATCCAGGCTAGTTTTGACGGATGCATCTCGACCTCGATTATTCCGAAGACCTGTGCTTCTTTTCTGGGGTAAAACACTTCAGACTCACTACTGAAAAGTGCACTTCTCTCCAGAGGGGAGAGAGATGGGCTCGGTGATGTCCCCCCGCTAAACACTCTGGATCCTCGCCTCTTCAAACAGTCCTCGGCGTCCTCTGGTGAACGGCTAGTGTCGAACTCTTCTTTCTTTACCGGCCGGCGGTTCGCAGCTGAGTGGCGTAACCAGCGCACCTTCTACCTGTCGCTGGGGGTTTCACGCATCGATGCATGTAGACTAGCACGCGCGACGTTCAAATCAAATGTACGGAAACTACTGTTTTGACTGAAATGTGTATTTCGTCTTGATATTGTTAATTAAATGTTTTTATCACAGTGGGGCTTTCATCTTTACAAGCGAGAATGTACCATGGATAAATATTAATTGAAAATCATTATCCTTAATCGGAGAAAACTCGAAAATAGGGAAAAACAAAAAGTTGTTCGGCTTATCTTCACGCGAATGCACTTTTCACCTGAGTGAGTCCACTTTTCGTTACTGTCACTCTCCCGGGCGTTATGGGGGGATCACTATAACGAAACCGGT